AGCAGTGTAAGGGACATCTGCTGGTCGAACAGATTCTTTTTGAACTCTAATGGAACGTGCTGTAATAAGGTTAGGACGAACTCTAATGGAACGTGCTGTAATAAGGTTAGGACCTGCACCTATCAATCGTACTTTATCTTCATTACATGGTGTCGTTGCATGGTGTCTCTTGATTAAAAATGGGTTCCTTATACATTTGCAGTGCATAAAGAAGACTTCTTTCAGTCTCAGGTAAAGGTTTAGATAGACAATCAATAAAGTTTGAGTGAGTGCTTGCGCATGTCTCCACGTTTGATCCAAGAACACCTTGGTCCCTCTTTTTTCGAGTATGACAGCTGGATGGTACATCTCAGTAACATCATGAAATGATGCAAGATTTTCGCTTGGGTAAAGCTGACAACGAGCAGGAGTTTATCGAGTTTGCAGAAGGCCCCACAAAAACCAGAGCGGGTTGTCTAARCACCAAATCAATATTTTCTTTCAAGAATGTTTTAAAGTGGAGGTGAACGCTGTCCTGTGCAACTATTCAAAGAATATCAACGTCGACGACAGTTACAGAGCGTAACAAGATCAATAGCATTATGAATACCTTAGTCGAAGGCACTTCCCTTGAATCAAGCGATGAAAACATTCACCAGGAGTCGTTCGAGTGGTTTCTTTAMTACGACCCATAACAGCGCCATATCGAGCTCGTGCAWTTACGAAGAACTTTCAAAACATTACTCGCGACTATTAATTCCAAAGTGTGATCAAGGTCGTGTGATTTCCTATACAAATTTGTAACTTGTAATTCCTTTTTAGGAAACAAWTATTAATAAAATCAACGTTTAATCTCAGAATTAATGAAATAAATAAATTACAGCATGGRAAGCGCGTTTTGTACGGGATTTTCGCACTCCTTGGTTTGTATCCGAAATCTTACTCATTCGCTACGTTCACTCGTTCGATTCCAGATAGAAAGAAAACTCTTGCGAAAATTCCGTACGCGCGCGCTTTCCATGAAGTAATCTATATATTTTTATATTTAGGCCGAACAAGATYGATCCAAAGTTATTTTATAAAATTTTTCTGCGTTTTCGAGCGGAAAAAACATTTTGGCAGAAAACCGTGTCTGTCCTCGGATATAAACACGGTCGTCAGCCAATCAGGCCGCGCGCGTTATACATCAAAAATTTGATAAATTATTATATTTAGGCAGACCAAGGTCCATCCATTGAAAGTCCCGAGGACTAAATCGACTATAGTTGGCAAAGGTTCTTCAACAATCGATCCGGAAATGATCTCATTAACAAGGRTACATCGCGTGACCACCAACAAAACAACAGACAAGGTATTTGATTCTTACAACAATGTATTTTAGTCAAGTGAATTGTTTCAGTCGTAAGCCTACAAACAATCGGTAATCAGTTCTTTAACGCTGAAAAGTATACTAGCTAGTCAATTCTTAATATCAAATATGGTTCTTGCCTTGAAAAGGACAATACACGGGCGATTGTTGAGGAATACTCACACATCAAATACTGTTAACAACATTATTACCGAACAACACGATACCATACCATAAGATACCTTGGCGTACTATTAGACTCGCAACTATCAAGGA